ATACTTTCACTTTTTGTTTCACTATTATTATTATTATTATTATTATTATTATTATTATTATTATTATTATTATTATTAGGGAATTTCGGTCCACAATTACTACTTGAGGGCGTGCACTGGTTAAACCATGCTCCTGTTTAGTAACCAGCAAACCACGCAGGAGAGTGATGCAAATTGCACTAAGAAGACCATGTGTGACATGCTTGACAAAGATAATATTAACAAGAATGGAACTCATAACATTCTAGTACGAGAATCATACTCCACTCATTTGGCGCCTTTATTATTTTGATTACGGTCTATTATGACTAAAAAAAATAAACAGATATAAAAAAAAACACCGTCATATCATGATGCGTAGAGGCTTGGAACATCGAATCCAGCATCTTGCTTGACGTTGATTGATATGCAAGTCTACAGAAATAAAGTTGCAACTTGACTATTAGCTGTAATTTTTCTTGGTGTAGTGTTAAGTGCTTGATCCTAACAAGTGGTATTAGAGTAGGTTACAAGTGTGAATTACATTATAAACATTGAAATTTTTAATGTAATGATAAGCACTTGATAGTGAAATATCACACATTTAAAAGTTAGGTTTAGTTACACAAAAGTCAATCCATTTTTTATTGTTCACATACGTACCAATACGATCTTATCATATTTAAAATTTAGGTGATAATACCCAACTTTCTATCCGTTTTAATTGTATAGTAACCACAAAAAAACCTATATTGAAATCTTGTGGCTAACAGCTGATCTGAACATAAGAACGATGTTGGATAAAGAGTTCCAATTGTATTTATGGCAAATGTTTCAAACAAATAATCATTCCGTCCATTTTATAAGTTTAAATCCAAAATTAAGAATATTTCACCGCTCTTATTTTAAAAGCAGATGGAGGATATAATCGTGGAATATACATCAAATAGTTCACAAGCCCCAAAATGTTTATAGATCAAAATAAAGTCAACTTCATACCTCATTTTTTCTTTTTACCTTCATAAGATTTAAACTCAATATGTACTCTACGAGTGCTAGCAAAACAAACTTTATGAACTTATTTTGGATTGATTGACCAATTGAGTTGTGCCTCAAGAGCATTTAGTCCCATTATATGATGTACACCAATAACAAAACTTAATTCAAGATATTTAGAAATTACAATTCATGAAAAATTATAAAATGTCAAATAATAAGAGGTCAAATATGAAAAAATATAAAATGTCAGGGCAGGGACGAATATCACATCATTTGGTTTGATTGTTGAAGAAATTCGGGAAATGCTTCGTCTTATGCCTATGGTTTCCTTTCGTTTTGTGCCTCGTAGTGGCAATATGATTGCTCATACTTGTGCGCTTCGTAATATTGGGGAGGACAGATATGAGTGTTTTGACTATATTCCTCGTTTTATTTCTACTCCCTTATGTAATGACATTATGTTTTCTTAATATATTTGGTGTTTGGTTGGTTTAAAAAAAAAAAAAAAAAAAAAAAAAAAAGAATGTTGCTTTTGAACATCTAATAGTGATAAATCCAAAATAGAAGCCATTATACACCATAGCAGCGTTTACGGCGTTTGAGATTTTATTCAATTTTATTCAATTCCATTCAATTTTATTGTCATTATCATACATACCTTTCCGGATTTTCCAGACAATTCAATCTTCTGCTGTCAAAATATTAGTGAATCAAATGGAAAACCTAAATTTATGAAATAATTGACATTTATTATTTTATATATTACTCTTTTCGTTCCAATTTATGTGTCTGATTATGTTAACGAAACTTGACTAAAGTTTTCATCATATTAAGTTTAGTATTTTTACCGTATTCGAGTTGCAATTCCAGTTGACAAACCCCTGCGTCGAAGAATGAGGTTTATGAAGCGGGATAAATCGACATGTTGGGTAGGGTTCAAGTATGAATGTCTGCATAACTTCTGTTTCTTTTGTGGCAAGCTTGGCCATCTCTGATCTATAAATTCTGTTTGCAAGCACGGGAATCTACGTTGTCTGTCGATGACTACCCGTACTCTGCGGAGATGCGCGCTGGTTTCCGTCGTGGGCCTAGGGCGGTAGGGGAAAGTTGGTTGCTACCGCTAGAAGGGAAGCCGAGGGTTGTGACGGTGGAAAGGGTGCCCGGAGTGGAGCTGGCTACGGATACGTCAGTAGCGGCGGACGTCGAAGTTGACGCCGATAACCCGGTGATGGTGGTTGCAAAGAGAAGGCGTGAGGAGCTGTCGTGTAGTGGTGGGAGGACGGAAAGGCAAGGGGAAGATATTACTATGACCGAGGTTCCAAAAAACTAGTTTTCTGGTTCCCAGACCTCCCCCCCCCCCCCCCCCCCCCTCATCATGAGTACGTTAAGCTGGAACTGTCGTGGCTTGCGCAATCCACGAATAGTTCGGGAAGTTGAGGACCCGGTTTCCCGTAAGAAGCCCGAGTTTGTGTTTTTAATGGAAACTAAGGTGGGACGTGTACATGCAGAACGTCTCCGTGTTCGTCTTGGTTTTGAAGGTCTGTTTTACATTGATAGTACGGGTCTGAGTGGTGGAATAGCTCTGTTTTGGAAAAAGAATAACACTGCGCGTTTATTAAGTTACTCGAAAAACTATGTGGATGTGGAGGTGAGCCATGCGAGTGGACTGATGTGGCGTATGACAGGTTTTTACGGCTTTTCGGAGAGGCATAGAAGAAGGGAGTCGTGGGAACTTTTACAGGTGTTGAGTGGCAGATCTGTCCTTCCATGGATAGTGGTGGGGGATTTTAATGACCTTCTGTTTCAACACGAGAAGAGGGGCGGGGAGGGGGGGGTGGGGGAATCCACATCCGAATAGCCTCCTACGCGGCTTTGGGGGGGACTGAAGATGGTTGTGGTTTACTACAGTTGCCGATGAGGAGCCACCAATTCACTTGGGAAAAGAGTCAGGGGACGGAGGGATGGATAGAGGAACGATTGGACAAAATCTTAGCTACGCCTCGTTGGTGTGATATGAATGGTGGAGCTTTGGTCGAGAATATTCTAAAACGCGTACTTCGGATCACTCGACTCTCTTCCTCAACATTAATGCGTCATGCATGCAGAGGGGTGGGGGGCCGAGGGGTTTTAAGTTCGAAATGACCTAGCTCCATGATGACGGCTGTAGGGAGGTGGTTGAGACTGCTTGACAGGGCGGGAGGTCTCATGGGTTGCTGAATTGTTCGTAGCAGTGTGGAAATCGTTTAGTGAGATGGGAGGGGGGGGGGGGGGGTGGGAGAGCACTTCCATAAGTTTGGTGATAGAATGAAACAACTTCGCAAGAGGCAAGATGAGATCAGAGATCCTAGGGATCCCGCTGCATTGGCCGAATTCCAACGATTAGAGGATCAGGTGAGGTAGTTAGAGGCCCAGGAGGATGTGTTCTGGAGACAGCGAGCCAAGCAACATTGGCTTCGTGGTGCAGATGCCAACACATGGTTTTATCACAGGTATGCTTCTGCTCGTAAGAAAAAGAAATATGTCTCTAGAATTATGAATGATGCGGGAATATGGGTGGAGGCCTGGAGGGTGAGGCTATGAACCGGGTAGTCTTGGATTATTTTATTACTATCTTTGCCTCTGGAATTTCTGTGTGTGAAGACCCCTTATTTGATGATTTTTCCACTCGGGTGTCGCATGAACAAAATAATACATTGTTACGTCCTTTTGTGCCTGAGGAAGTCAAGGCTGCTCTGTTTTCTATGTTCCCTAATAAAGCACCGGGGCCGGATGGAATGAATCCGGGTTTTTATCAGCACTTCTGGGATGTTGTTGGGGGTGATGTGTCAGCTTTTGTTTTGAATTGTTTAAATACTGCTTCATTCTCTGATGGTTTAAATGATACTAATGTGATTTTAATCCCGAAAAAAACTGTGCATGAAAGGGTTGCTGATATGAGGCCAATAGCTCTAGGGAATGTTTTATACAGAATTATGGCTAGGATGATAACTAACATGATGAAACCACTCATGGGGGATATCTCAGAATCTCAGAGTGCTTTTATTCCTGGTAGACTTATCACAGATAATATTCTTTTAGTTGCGGAGTTCAGTCATTTTTTGAATAGGAAACAATGTGGGGCCACAGGTTGGGGTGCTTTAAAGTTGGATATTGCAAAAGCCTATGATAGAATGGAGTGGCAATTCTTGCAGAGGATGTTGATGGTGATGGGTTTTGATGAACGATGGGTCAAATTAATTATGCTGTGTGTAACCACTGTCGAATATAATATTCTTGTGAATGGTGTCACAAGTGGCCGAATAACACCCACTTGTGGTCTCAGACAGTGAGATCCCTTCTCCCTTTATTTATTTATTATTTGTGCGGAAGGGTTATCGTTATTGTTGCAGAAAGCTCAGATAGCAGGCTCTATACATGGATGTAGGGTGGCTAGGGGTGCCCTCCCCCCCCCCCCCCCTATCTTGCACTCGTTTTTCGCGGATGACAGTCTGTTGTTCTTTAGGGCGAATGTTTAGGAGGCCACTGTGATTAAGCAATGCTAGATATGCTATGAGAAGTTTTCTGGTCAAATGGTTAATTTTCATAACTCTAATATCTGTTTTAGCATAAATACACAGGGGGCGGATAGGCTGGCTGTGGCGAGTTGTTTGCAGGTGGAACAAGCCCCCAACGTTGGAAAATATCTTGGTCTATCTTCGTTTGTGGGTAGGATTAAAAGGGCAGTCTTTTCTTATGTGGAGGATAAAATTAGGCAGAGGATTGGGGCATGAAATAAGAAGCTGCTCTCGCAGGCTGGTAAAGAAGTTTTATTAAAAAGTGTGGCTCAATCTATGCCTACCTTTACGATGGGTATTTTCTTGCTGCCTGACTCTGTTTGTTTGTCTATTGAGAGAACCATGAACAGGTATTGGAGGGGAAGTGGAACAGAAAGAAAAATTCACTAGAAAGCTTGGGATAAATTATGTATTCATAAGAAGTAGGGTGGATTGAGTTTTAAGGACTTTCGGAATTTTAATTTGGCAATGCTGGGAAAGCAGGCTTGGCGTTTCCTCACAAATCCCAACTCTCTGGTTGCGAAAGTTTATAAGGCACGGTATTATCCTAATACTTCTTTTGTGGATGCAACTATAGGAAATTGCCCAAGTTATTGCTGGAGGAGTATTATGGCAGCACATGATACTATTATTGCTGGCGTGCGAAGAAGAATAGGTAATGGTAAAGCAACCCTAATTTGGGGACATCCATGGTTACCTAATGATCCTAGTCCTCTGGTCCAGATAGAAATGCCCATGGAACTAAGAGATGCCTTGGTAGTTGGATTAATTGATCAGCAGACTAATACTTGGGATCCACACATCCTTTTTGATTTATTTATCCCAGAGGATGTGGCCAGGATATCTAGAATCACTGTAAGCCCGGATTATGAGGACTCATGGTATTGACTTGGCGACCCCAAGGGAATATATTCGATAAAGAATGCCTATAGGAATCTTGTTGGTGATTATGTGCATGCCCCGGGTGCTTTTGATAAATGGGCAACTATATGGAAATTAAAGGTTCCTTCCAAGTGGAAGATTTTTTTATGGAGGGCAGTTTGTGATATCCTTCCTACTACTAATAACTTAATTTTAGAGAGGGTAGAAGTGGATCCTACATGCCAAATGTGTGGCTTGGCTCATGAAAATGTTATGCATGCTCTAGTACTTTGCAATTATTCTAGACGTGTTTGGGATGTTGCATAATTACCTATCACGAATATTGTAGTAGATTCTTTTCCCTTATGGCTTATGGGTGTGTTGGCAGTATTGACGGAGGAGCACAATGGATTAATGGTGGCCGTACTATACCATCTTTGGAGGAGCCGAAATGCGGCAGTATGGGACATATCATTGCTGCACCCCAACGTCGTCCGGCGGCAGGCCATGGCATCCCTACATGCATTCGGTCAGACCCGACCGCGCAACCAGAACCACGAGCCGGCAGTGGCGCCCTCCCCCGCACTCTATGCACGGCCGCGCTGCTATGTCGACGCAGGCTACAAACCATCTTCCGGCGAGTCAACATATGGAGCGGTCCTCCTAGCCACGGACAGAACTTTTATCACAGCAACAAGTGGCAAGCTACCCGTCTGCTTCTCACCTCTTATGGCAGAGGATGCGACTTGTAAGGAAGCCTTGTCCTGGTTAAGGGAAATGAATGTCATGATGGTGGATCTTCTCACAGATTGTTCAGAATTGCAGAGCGCTTTACACCACAGCTCGTCAGCTATCTTGTCCTATGCTGGGGTCGTGACAGACCACTGCAGACTATCTATGGCTTCGTTTAATTTTTTCTCTCTCAATTATGTTACTAGACATGTTAATTTACATGCACATACCTTAGCTTCGTTAGCCTTTTCTCAGGATCACTCTATGTATTGGGATGTTATCCCTCCTGACTCTATTGCTTCGATGATTCATTAATACAATCGCTATGGTTGGTTTCAAAAAAAAAAGTTTAGTATTAGTATATAAAATTTATATATTTAAAAGCTATATTAAAAGTATTATTAAACACACAAAAAAATCAAATTTAAAAATAATTAAAAATATTAAAGAAAATAAGTAAAGAAGAAAGAGTTGACTTGACCAATAAATAATAAACATGATAGTAAAATGAGACAAAGGAATTATATTTTGTAGGAATAAGGGTCAAATAGGTCATCGAACTGCACACGTACAATAATGCAATTAGGCCACTGAACCTAAAAAACCTACAATTGGGTCCCTAAACTAAACAATTTCATGCAATTCTTCCAATTGGGATGACCTGGTTGAAACTTGTAAATGGGAAGAATTGCATGAAATTGGTAAGTTTAGGGACCCAATTTTAAGTTTTCTATGTTTAGTCGCCTAATTACATTATCGTGTGTAGTTCAATGGCCTATTTGATAATTATTTCTATTTTTTTACTATCCGTTAGTATTAAGACAAACGTCAAGTAATGAAAGAAGTAATAAATTTATTTCCCTATGTATCATAGTAGCTTCTTCTCCCAAAAGGTTGAATCTCCAACCCTAAGGGCCTCCTAAACCCCGACAGACAGAGCATTTGGGAGGATGTAATAAATCAGGGTGACTCAATAGCTCAGCAGACAGGGCCAAATGCTGGTACGATAAGGTTGAATCTCCAACCCCAAGGGCCCTCCACACCCTGTGTAGCCTCTATCACATCCACACATGAACCACAATCCTACAATGAAGCCATTCAACATGAGCAGTGGAGGAAGGCAATGCAGTCTGAAATAGAGGCTTTAGTTCAAAACAATACCTGGACTTTAGTAGATCTGCCTCAAGGGAAGTCACCTATTGGGTGTAGATGGGCCTACAAAGTAAAACACAAAGCTGATGGATCTATTGAGAGGTACAAGGCCAGATTAGTGGCAAAAGGGTACACTCAACAACTAGGAGTGGACTACATGTAAAATTTTTCCCCAGTAGCAAGAATGACCACTATCAAAACCTTTTTAGCTATGGCAATGGCTAAAGGTTAGGATATCCAACAACTTGACATCAACAATGCCTTCTTGCATGGAGATCTTGATGAGGAAGTGTATATGGTTTTACCTCCAGGATTTGAAGGAAACAAGCCTAGTCAAGTATGCAAGTTACTTAGGTCTCTATATGGCCTAAAACAAGCTAGTAGGCAATGGAATGCTAAGCTAACTAGGGCATTACAGATTGATGGTTTCCAACAGTCTGTTGCTGATCCTTCCCTCTTCACCAAAACATAAACAGCTCCTTCATTGCCATATTGGTCTATGTGGATGATATCCTTATAGCAGGAAATGATTCAATTCAGATACAAAGGCTTAAACAGATGCTAGATTCTTCTTTTAAAATCAAGGATCTTGGCAAGATGAATTTCTTCTTGGGCATTGAAGCTTACAGGTCTACTAAGGGCCTCAATTTATGTCAAAGAAAATATAACTTGGAGATTTTACATGACAATGGTTTTCTAGATGCAAAATGTAACAACCCAAAATTTCATTTTATAAATCCGGTATTAAGAAATTTCGAAATAGCCATTTTCACTCCATTAAATTTTTTTACGAATAATTGGTGTTTGAATAAATTATTTTCGTCACATTTTAAATTAATTCGACACCAAAATTGATTCTATTTCGAAAATTCCTAAATTTTCGGGTACTTCGCGTACCAAGATTTAAATCGAGAAATTTATCTGAGTGAGACCGGGAGAATTCAAAAAGATTTTAAACAAGGGTTCATCTAAATAGCTTTTTGAGAAAATTCATTTTCCACCCCAAAGTATTTAAAATAGCATTTCTAGTCTATGGTTCATGTTGCAAGGTGGACCAAAAAGAGCATTTTCCCCTTGTCTGATCTTTGCTAGAACTACCCCAAAAATTACTACTTTGCCCTCAACCAATCATTGAGTATCCTTCTAGGGTTTTGAACCCATATATAAGCAATAGAAAACCAACCTTTCCTCCTGATTCCATTTTTTGTCTTCCCACCCTAGGTAGAGCTCAGCAAGAGAGAAAGAAGAAACACAGTAAGTTTTAGGCTCATTTTCATCCTTTGTTCATCTAGTTTCTCCTCTTTAGCTTCAAATCTCTAAGGTTCTCCACTTAAGTGTTGTTGTTTGGCTAGCTTGAGACATTTAGGTGGTGAAGGGGGTAGTGGTTGAGTTGGGAAGAAGAAGGAATCCATACAAGAAGAAGAGACAACAAGAGGTATAACCCCATGGACTCCCTCTTTAAAATTTGGCTCTGTGAAGCCTTTATGTTGAGTAGAAATGAGGAGAATCTATGAGATTTTGTTGTGTTTATGCTTAGAAGTGATATAGTATTTATTTGTGAGTTGTTGACATGAGATTGTTTTGGACATGTTTGGATTGAGTTTTGCATATGAGAAAGCCTTCTGGTGCACACACAGTGTGCACCAGATCAGACTAACGGCCCTAGCCGCGGCCCATCAGGAGGGCCGCCGGCTAGAGCCGTGGTGGCATGGGACTAGGGCACTGCCCTAGAAGAGGGTCACCGCCTAGTCCTGGTGGAGCAGCGGGGTATATGGGGCAGACCATGAGGAGTCCCGTCTTAGGTCCCTGACTTTGATTCTGAGAAGAATCTGTATAGTAGCCGGGCCCTTGTGGCTCAGCTACGTGTCGTTCGGGCCGAGTGTTACGGGCCCTTGTGGCTCAGATCTTCGGGACCGTCTCGACGCACGTTTTGGTTTTAATTTCGTTGAATTTGGATTAAAAATGAGTATGTTATGAAGGTTTTATTGAAGATTTGCTACACAGAGTATATATTTGCTAGTTTACTGTATATGAAGAATTATTTGACTATGTGATCTAATGATGTTTTTATTGAGTAAGTAAGCATGATCATTTGAGAATATGATTTATTATGAAAGCATGACTAAATGGTGATATTTGATCAATGAGAAATGAAGCATATTTTGTTGATAGAATGTATAGAATTTGCTATGTTACAAACCGAGCATGACATTATATTCTTAAGTATTTCATGATATTTTATACATGATTTAGAAGCATGTTATAGAGCATTTTGACATTTCACATGTGTCATATTTCAAAAATGCATAAGGGGCCAACGTGAGCCAAAGAATATTCAAACACCATAAGCATGTGGTATATCATTCTTTGATGCATTGAGAAATAGTAGAGTTGTTGCATGCATGAGATTGATGCATGAGAGATATATTTATGTATTATCTATATCAGTGAGGTTTTGGAGGATACCATTTGGACTATGTCCTCTCGGGAGATATTTATGGACATTGCAGTCCTAGTATATGTAACGCGGCGTATTTCCATGTTATGAGGTTGGAAACTGCCCGCCAGGCTTGGAATCCTGGTTAGGGGGTGTGCACACTAATAGTTCGATACCTGATTCCACAGAGATAGAACCACGAGATTGATTCCTTAAATGGTAGGAGATATCGGGTCGGATTTATGCCGTTCCCGATGGGGTAATTCACGCATCAGTGAAATCCTAAGCCGTCTACGAGTAAAAGAAAGAAGAGAGTCAAAAGAGACTCAAGAGAAAAAAGAGAGTCAAAAGAGACTCAAGAGAAAGAAAGCGAGTCAAAAGAGACTCAAGAGAAAGTAAGTGAGTCAAGAGACTCAAGAGAAAGAAAGCGAGTCAAGAGAGACTCAAAAGTAAGAAAGAGACCTCCACAGAAAGTAATATATTTTTATAAAGAGAGTGTATAAGTATATATATATATATATATATATATTGTTGCACGAGATTGCATATGAGTATGAGCATATTATTGCACGAGAATGCATATGAGTATGAGCATATTATTGCACGAGATTGCATATGAGTATGAGCATATTATTGCACGAGATTGCATATGAGTATGAGTATATTGTTGCACAAGATTGCATATATATGAGTATGAGTATATTGTTGCACAAGATTGCATATATATGAGTATGAGTATATTGTTGCACGAGATTGCATATGAGTATGAGTATATTGTTGCACAAGATTGCATATATATGAGTATGAGTATATTGTTGCACGAGATTGCATATGAGTATGAGTATATTATTGCACGAGATTGCATATAAGTATGAGTATATTGTTGCACGAGATTGCATATGAGTATGTTTATAGTATTGCATGAGATTGCATATGAGTATGAGTACATTATCGCACGAGATTGCATATAGGTATGAGTATATTGTTGCACGAGATTGCAAATGAGTATGTTTATAGTATTGCATGAGATTGCATACGAGTATGAGTATATTATTGCACGAGATTGTATATGAGTATGATTATAGTATTGCACGAGATTGCATATGAGTATGATTATAGTATTGCACGAGATTGCATATGATTACAGCTTTGCACGAGATTGCACATGAGTATGATTATAGCATAGCACAAGATTGCAATTTAGTAAAGTATCGCATGAGAGTACATAATGAGAATGTTCATTTATGATCGTTTTGTTGTTTTAGAAGTCTTGTTTATCAAATTATGAGATGAGAATATGAAAGCATGAGAATACCTGTTATGTGGTTTATAAGCATGATCCTATCTGTAAGTATGAATTGTTTGATAAGTTATTTGAGAAGCTTATATGTTGATAAATCTAAGTGAAAAATCTTATATATATTTGAGTATGTCAGCTGATATAATAGGGTGCAAGCATCTAGAAAGTATGTGTTAGATCTAAAGATGATTTGAGATGAGTTATTGTTTATAAAGAAAGCAAATGTTTTCAAAGTAAATGCTAGAATGCTTTACAGGGTTGAGTGTGGTTATACTTAGCTTCGTGCTAACATGTGTTTTCCTATTTGTCTATGTGTTGCTTGCAAAACCACTTTCAGGTGGACCCAGCAGTGTGAAGAAGTCGAATCAGATTAGTTTCGTAGTTAGAGATGTCTAAACTCTAGATTTAGTATGTATAAAAAATAATAACTCAATAACATGTCTAAGATATTAAGTGTATATTGTCGAATGAAAGTGTACGTAATTATATCAAATGATACTTTAACTGTGTTGTAATGAAACTACCACGTATATAAAATGTGGACGATAATAAAATTTGCCCCCACTGACTTGAAGTACGTCTTTCAAGTTTTAATAAAACACGAGCAAATACTTTATTCATTCGATCACACAAAGCAAAGCAGTACAATGCAAGTTTGCCAATAATGGCATTGGAAAACAGGAAAGGCAACACTACACGTACAACGTAGATGAACAACTTATTATAGGTGACATTATAGTCCCCTAGCTAGCTTAATTAAACAACACACACACAAACAAACTTTATTCATACCTTATTAAAATCATATCAATAGAATCCCACCATGAAAGGGTTTATGCACACACAACATCCTCTGCGTCGTCGTGATCATCAAGAATCCACTTACCATCATCTTTCTGAACCATTCCTTTGTTTTTTTCAGCCCACCATTTGGTTGGAACCTGGCATTTCTCAACTTTCAGCATGTTTCCATACTTGTTGACTAGAGCGATATCAAAAAATCCTTGCGGTTCAAATCCTCCATTTGGCCCTTGAAACCCATCGATTCCATGCAGGTAAATCATCAGACCATGCCACGTTAAGATCTTCTTCATTTTAGGCGGCTGTAAATAGTCTGATTTTGAAGCGTTTATATCAAATTTGACTCCCACGTCATGGTAGCGTATGAGGGGAAAAACAGTGCCGGCTTCAACAGCCAAGTATGGCACATTTGGCACAAGATCCCCATAGTTGACGACACGCAGAGCTCGGAGGTTTTTCAGCTGGGAAAAAGCCTTCTTGAAACTCTCGTTTCCCACTTTGGGGCTTGCGAACAAGAATGCTGTGACGAGAACATCGGTGTTAGTGTTATTGAGTGGATTGGCAGCTAGGTCAACTGCATTTAGTGTTGCCAGTGATGCGCCCAGGCTGTGTCCTGTCACAGTTATGCTCACTTCCTCGTTCTTGTACAGATCAAGTAGCCTGAAAACTTCTTCTCGAACCTATGAATTGAAGTGGTTAAATAAGGTTATGGTCCTATTTGGTTTAATAATTTGTAAATATACACTACTGGAAATTATTGAATTTCCGACCTGAAAGTGATCTTAAATGAAGTTGAAGGCAAAAAGTGGTCGGAAATAGCAACAAGGGTTTTTCCAGATACCAAAAGTGATCGGAACAAGGCTTTCGACTTGATTTAAGATCATTTTCAAGTGGTCGAAAATTTCAGAATTTTTAGTAGTGATAAAAATATTTCTATATTTGGTTAAACATGTAGGTCGGCATACCTGGTCCCTGGCACTCTTACTGTTGAGCTCTGAATCTTTATTGGTAGAGGTATACATTTTGTACCAACCTCTATGGACGAGGGAACCATTATCCTGGGGAAAGATGATCTGAGGTTTGACCATGTGGATTCTGAAATCCTCAATCCACTCCGCCGTGGTTTCTGTTCCCCTCCAAACGACCAGAATGTCTCTCCGTCCCAAAACCTCCTTCCCCTTGTCAGTGGCTACAGCAACATATCCACCCCAATTTGACCCTTTCATCACTGCGTCTTCTCGTACTGATTGGACAAGATATCCTCCTTGTCCTCCGCCGATCATACTTGAAGGAGTATAAAAGTACTTGGTGATATCGTACCTAATCAAATTTACATAATATAAAAGTACTTAGTTATATATATATATATATATATATATATATATATATTCTCCACTTAGAGACACGACACAGGAGCTGGCCAAAGAAAATTGTTACTATCGTCCCCACAATTTGCCTTTGAACTACCCTTTGCATTGATGCATATATAATTATGAAATTGTTTCAAAATGTATTGTTTTTTTGAGACCAAAAAAAGAGGGACTAGGAAAGGTAAAGAGATGAGCATTAGATTATACTTGAAAGGATTTGCTTTCTCAAGCCCAGTCGCTTCAAGGAGGTTTTTGCTGGCGTAGCGGCTTAGCCCGGCATACTTAGAAGTTGGTTCACTGATGAAGGAGTCGTATACTGCTCCAATCATTGAACCATAGTGAATGAGGTAGTGGCGAAGATGAGAATCCAAAGGATCCAGTAACCCTTCCCAGTTCTCATCGCCACTCAAAGCTCTCCATTTCTGAGCAATGCTCTCCATTTTTCTTTTTTTTGTGAGTACACTGCTCTCCATTATTTTTTCTTTTCTAAATGTAATTAGCACTTAGCAGTGTTTCTTAATTTGCTGATGGAGTGAATTGAAGTCTTACACACTCCTCTCTTTATATAGAGGGGAAGAGCCTTGCGCCCATGCATCAACATCTTGCATGTTCTCACACAGACACACACCTCATTTTAAAACTTTTAAATATTTATGATAATAACCCAACTTGTTTTACTTATTTCCCATCCATAAGATCAGATCAATGGTTTGAATTTGTCAACAAGTTCTCACTTTAGATGCGTGGTTTTTCTTTTTAAGGTCCGTCTGTTTAATAATGTTTTAGGTGCGTGTTTTTACTTCTTAAGATCCGTTGTTTTCCTTCTTAAGGTACTTTGTTTTTCCTACTTAAGGTGCATTGTTTTCCTTTCTTATGATGCGCCATTTTTTACTGTTTGCTTCATTAATTGAAGACACATGTAAAAAAATATATTCATTAATTTGAGCTATTGATCTAGATTTGATCAACGGCTCAGATTAAACTGCAGGTTCGCACCTGAGCAATTTTCCGCACCAAAACTCATATATATATATATATATAGTAGAGTTCAGGTGCGGCCACACTAATAGTTATGCAAATATGCACCAACAATGTTAGAAAATGCACACAAAAAAAATGTACAAATTAGTTACGCATCACCAAAAAGCACCCTTTGGTATGAATAAAAGCACTACACATTGTTTAAAAATGCACAATTTTTTGGGTGTGTTGTGTATTTTTTTGTGTATTTATGTATTTCATTGTTGTCTATTTCCTAACATTGTTGGTGCATATTTGCACAACTTTTGTGTGTGTGTGTGATTATATATATATATATATATATATATATATATATATATATATATATATATATATCTATATATATATATATATATATATATATATATATATATATATATATATATATATAGGCTCATGATCCCATTAGAACACCATTAGAACACACCCCAGGAGGAAATTAAGAACCAATTAAATCCAGCTGTAAAAATTGGAGGGATATGATCAAATAAGATTTTAAAAAAAATGGTGGCATTTTCGTCATTATTGCCACTTTCATTTTTAAAGTTGAACATTTAAATATGCAATATGTAACAACTAACACTAGTACAAAAAAAAAAAAAAAAAAAAAAAAGTGCAAAGAAATATGACTTTAGATTACCCTTCTTCAAACAAGTGTAGTGTATTGTTAAAAAAGAAGTAGGTGACATAATCATTCTTCCATAGGTGACATAATCATTCTTCCAAAGGTGACATAATCATAACTAGATGAACAGTAACAACCACCCTTTTTAAATAAAATGATTGCAATTTCTAAAAAAAAAAAAAAAAAAAAAAAAAAAAACCTGTGTTGACTTTCCTCGACCCTTTCTCTAGGAAAAGGTCACAGAACTAAGGCTATTCTTATCCCAAAAATTTCTCTCACCTTCTAAAATGGGTCCCACTTCCACGTCATCAATTTTGTATATAATAAAATAATATTAAAAGAAATAATAAAAATGAAAAAGACATCAAAAGCTTTGCAGTATGTCCTTTTCAGCAACTTTTGCAGCTTTTTTTCTCATTAGCAAATTCTCTCTCCTATTTATATTTTAGCAAATTCTCTCTCCCATTTCAATACACATCAGCATCAAAAAAGAATAAAAAATTATTATCTCTCTTCCATGTCATTTAGAAAGGGGAAAAATTTCTGGAATGGGATTAGCCTAAGACAGGAAAGTAAAAAAGTATGTCTTCTTTAATCTGTCTAAACTGTTGTGATTTCGCTGAACCCGCCACCTTTGTTATTCTCCCAAAACTGTTGCGACCCATAAGATCCACGCGACCATACCATTTCTTCTCCTCTCATCTCCCAAAACTGTTGTGATTTCGCTGAACCCTATCGGATCGGAGACTCTTCTCTTGTGCTTCAGCTCGAGATGAAGAAAGAATTGACATCAAAATTTTGATGAATAATTTTATATCTAAATATGCATGAAAAAAAATCACTTTTAAATTAAACAAACAAGCAATAAACTACAAACAATAAATCTTACATATACATATGCATTCAGCCACACTGCTAGCTAGTTGCCTCCGGCTGGTTGTCTTATTCAAATTAAAGCAAGCACATTCATAATTAAGTAGAAATTTCATGGAGACTTTATTCAAACAATTGAAATAGGGATAGTCTGATTTTTTAGATTCAAACATAAAACCCACTCCCACATCTTGGTAAGGTATTAATGGAAATAGGGGGCCTCCAACTGGGATTCCTGGTGGCGGAAGTTTTGGAACAATATCATAGACATCGGTGATTATATTCCAATTCTCTCTTGCTAATTATTTTATTAGCACAAAGAGCCCCCCTCACTTTGAGAGGTTGGTCCCACACTGTCGCTAGTAAGACTCGATCCCTGGTCATTCTTTCAAAGTTTCACCTCTATGACCAGTTAAGCTACCCATGCGGGCAGTTTTTAATTTATTTATGATGATGATGGGATGATGATACACTTCAATTCCCACATACTTCCCTCTCTTTATATACATCAGCCATGCCATTCATCTCTTCCCTCATTGTTATAATAACATTGTTATTATATTAAACCAAATCAAAATGTTGTGAGGTGGTTACTAATGGATTAGTAACAAGTCAAAATGTGATGAAGTGGTTATTAATGGGATTTGATTTGAAGTGTGTTAGGTTTATGGATTAGTTTCATTTGTGTGTTTGTTAAAATTAGTAGATTAGTGACATATATTAGTCACTATAAATAGGGTGTTTTTTTTTTTTCATTTCAAATGTAAAGAAGAAACAATGTATGTGAGAGTGTGTGCATTAAGAAGTTCAAGCTTTAAGCTTTCTCCTACCTGAGCAAATTACCGCACTAGAACCCCTCCATATATATATATATATATATATATATATATATATATATATATATATATATATATAAAGATAGAACAGAGTTCAGGTGCGTGCGGTCAGTACGGCGCACCAATAGTCATGCAAATATGCACCAACAATGTTAGGGAATGCACAAATTAGGTAGCCATCACCAAAAACACAACATTAGGTATGCATATATAAAAGCACCACACAGTGTTCGAAAATGCACAATTAGGTGTGGGAAGATATGGTGCATTTTTTTTTTTGGGTGTTGTGCGTTTTTTGGTGTATTTGTACATTTCATTATTGTTGTGCATTTCCTAAAACTATTGTTGCCTTTTGTTAACACTATTGGTGCCTTTTGTTAACACTATTGGTGCCTTTTTCTAACGGCCGCACTGATTGCACGGGAAGGTGCGGCCGCATTTGAGCAGAAGTCTATAAAGATATATTACATTAAATATATCTTACAATTGGTATTAGAGTCTGTCAATCTTCCAACCTTGAGATATTTCCTATAGTGAGATATGGCAATGAATTTTAATGTTGTATGGTCTGGTCCAAAATTAGATGGGAAACTCGATTACAATTATTGCCAAATTATGATGACCACACATTTGAACGCTAAAAATCTTTGGATCTTTGTTGATCCTGGTCTGCCGGATGAAGCTTATGCAATCGCTATATGGTGAGATCAATTGGCATTGGGACAGATTCACTAAGGTGTTGATTACTCCATATTTGGGCTTTTAGCTGGTGTTGAAACAACAAAGGAAGCTTGGGGACATCTTAAAGATGTCACACAAAGGAGTCGATCGGGCACATAAGTCCAAGTTGCAGTGTTGAGAAGGTTGTATGATCGATGTGAGATGACCTCTACAGAAACGGTAAATATGTATTTCTCTCGTCTTATTGATTTTGTGAATAAGATGAGGTTATATGGAGACACTATTAAAGATGGTGTAGTGGTTGAAAGAGTTCATCGAACAATGTCGATGAAGTATGACAGGGTGGTGGCTTCAATAACAGAGTCACATGATACCGATCGAGCTCTTATCAATTGCAGAGTTGAAAGGTCGATAGAAAGTCATATTGACAGGATTGCGTCAAAATCAGAAGCACTAGCAGAAGAAGCTTTGAAAAGCCAAGTCATTCTTAACATGACTGGCTCTAACCAAAGAGGTGGAGAATCTGCCAGATGTCGCGGGAAAACAAATCAACATTGCTCAACATTATTGAGTATTGTCCCAATGATTGTCAAATTGCAAACATTTTTACAAAGCCTTTGAAGACAGAATCATTCCTCAAATTGAAGAAAACGATTAGAATGATTAACATTTCGGACTTGGTTTAGGAGAGGCAATGTTATAATAACAGTGTTATTATTATATTAAACCAGATCAAAATGTTGTGAGTGATTACTAATAGATTAGTAACAAGTCAAAATGTGATGAAGTGGTTATTAATTGGATTTGATGTGTGTTAGATTTATGGATTAGTTTCATTTGTGTGTTTGCTAAAATTAGTGGATTAGTAACATATTAGTCACTAAAAATAGAGTGCTTTGTTTTCCATTTCAAATGTAAAGAAGAATGAGTGTATGTAAGAGTGTGTGTATTAAGAAATTTAAGCATTAAGCTTTCTCCATATTAATCTCCTCTCTCATCCAATTATATTAAGCTACTAGTTATCACACGCGCATCGCGTGAATTGTCCCATGCCTAATGTGTATTTTTAAATTAGTGTTTCAAAATTTATCAAAGTATCATTCTGTTTCCTAGCATATATAAACGCAAGATTATCAAAAAAATTCATAAAAGTAAATATTTTAAGAATGTATAACTATGACCTGTGGCATAATTTTTCATAAAATTAACTAGTGCAATAACAGTTTTAGAGGAAAACACCGACACTGGATAGTACCAAGCATGATTTTTGCTACATAAAGTTCTATTATTTGGCGTGATCCATGTTTCCTCTTGTTGCAACTTCCGTCAGAAATTAATTCTTGATTTAATCTAGTCTCCTGGTGCGCTTCACTATAATTTTAGTGCGTTAACGTAGTACACCTTAAAAAACATAACCAAATCCTTCTTCCTCAAAAAGGCAATGATAATAGGCATAATTTCTCATTTGTGTTGAATATCTACTGTAAATTAGGTGTACAGTTTCATCAATGCCCAATGCGTGATTCTAATTAATTGACAAAAGTTCATGTCAAATTTTATATTATATTTTTTTTTAATACAAACATATTCATAAGTATATGTTTAACAATTATGTCAATTTTGATTGGTATAAGGTTCGAAACTAAGATCTTCCTTTTGAAAATAAATGAGTAGTCTAAGAATAATAAATAATTAATAGAATATTTTGTTACTAAAATTTACACCGACGGAATGTAAGAACATTTAAAAAAAATAAACGACATAACAAATGGTAAAGTAAGAAAAATAATAAAAAATTACTAAAATCAAAATAATATGAACCCGTCAACAGCATTATGTTGTGCTCATTCATTCTGGATTTTTAGTTCATTCATTCTGAATATTTAGTTCATTCATTCTGAAAATTTAGACAGAAATCGAAACTGTTTTTTTTTTTTCATTCATGCTGGATATTTAGTTCATTCATTCTGGATTTTTAGTTCATTCATTCTTGATATATAGTTCAAATTATGCACAACATAATGTTGTTGCTGGAAATCGAAACTGATTTTTTTTTTAAGTGGGACGCACGTTTTTGGTCAAAACGACGTCGTTTTTGCAACCGTGTGCACAATGCAGAGTGCACACAGATGCACAACATAATTTGCCTACAAGTCCTTCTTTGAATATCAAGGCACTTGAATTCCGAAGGCCCTTCAGTGGTGGAGTGTTCAAGGCATCCCATTGAAGAATCAGAGGACCATCTAGAGACTTATACTTACACTACATTAATACTCAATGTAACTAAAATTTTTAATTTAAATATATATACATATTCAATTTTTTGTGTTCACAATAAGACTCGATCTTATATTAATTGTGAAGCTCGCAATTTGTTTACATACCTGAAACTCCAAGAATAAGACTTCCCATGGCTGAAACAAAGCAGGTAAAAGCAACATATTGAACAAAGTTCCCCTTGCCATGACCAGGCCGACCAAACACGCCGTAACCCATTTCTTGTTGAACAACGGCTTTAGTACCAGCAACGTAGGAACGAGAGAACCAACGTTAGAGAAGACAGATAATATTTATATTTGAGATATATAGGTGGAAGATTAGTATGATGGAAGAAATTTAGTGTATGATATAAAATCGTAATACAGTCATTGACAGCAATAAAAATTCTTATACTAAAATTTTGACGAGTAATATTTTATTTTATTTTTACAAAACAACAAAATAAAGTATATTAGTTTTCTTTCTTTTTCTTCTTAGACCACAAGGTGTTTTCTATAAGAGTCACCGGGCCAGTTTAATCTAATTAAGGGGCAAAAATTGCAAAGTGCTAGCTAGATTTGTCTTTTCATAAGAAGGGGATTTGAACTCGGACTTCTCTTAAAATATGAGAGTACGGTCACTCACGTCAACCAAACTGGTTAGTATATTAGTTTTTTTAGAAATAACATACTATTTAGATTAAAAATAAATAAATAAGATATTGTAGATCTCTTTTAATTTAATCAGAGGTCTCGAGTTGAGATGTATAAATGGGCTACCACAAGAACAAGAATAATCTTAATTCACCCGTACGAGCTTAGCTCAATGGTTTAGTGGACAGTATTTGATTGAAGAATAATCTTAATGTAGGAACCGTTGGTAGAAAACAAATAATAATCAAATAAAAAAAAATTGACTATTATTTTCTGGAAAGAAGGGAAGAAAAATTTGAAGAAAATTGGCTAGTGTTTGGTGTTGGGTTTTTTGCAAGAGTCAAGTGTGCACTCTTTCCTTAAAACCTTATTTGCCACCTCCCGTAGATGCTAGGAGCGTTGTGGCCTAGGCTTCCCAGGATAAAACTTGCTATGATCCAATGTTTGAGCATTCAAACAAAGGATCCGGCGAGCAAGACAATGGCTATGAACACAGTATGGCTTAAAGAAAGAGTAGAAGTAGAGAGGTTTTGAGGCTAAAAGATGAACTTTCGTGTTCTATATTTTCTGTGTAAAACTCTACTGCCCAACTCCTCCTTTTATAGGGGTGAAGGATTTAATAGCTTTTAATTAGGCACTTAAGGGCACCCCTTCACCTTCCTGTAACAGCACCATTAGCATGGCCTTCAATTCAAAATTTAAAATTGGAATTAACTCAGAAAATTAATTCCGTAACAGTAGAATTGAAGGGCCAACGGTCAGAAACTGTACAGGTTCGTGTGGAAGTTTCGGCCATGGGTCCGAAGTGGCCGAAACTATGGCAACTACCTAGTTTCGGCCACTTGGCCGAAACTTTATTCCGTGGCTTGTGTTGGAAAATTTATTCCGAAGTTTGGCATAACTTAGCCCGCAAGGCCAGCCAATTTCCGGACGACATTCGTGCCCGCGCACACGAGCTCGGGCTTGAATCAAGCCTTTACAATCTCTGCTAGTTGGAATTTGATTTGCACCACCCCCCCCCCCTCCCCCCCCCCCGCGCGAGAGAGCCTCTATGCTATACAATTCTACAAGCTTCAAAAGAGCTCTTGTATATAAGGGGGGAAAATCTTCATTCCAAAGCAATGTGGGACAAAAGCTCACTTTTTCCCTTCATTTTCCAACTCAAATGGGTCTACTTTGAGAATCAATATCTCATTCACCCATTATCCGTTTTGAGCGTACAATATATCGATCTCTTCGTCTCACTACGAAGAATCCGAATCCACTTTGACCCGACCCAAATCGGAAGTGGACCCCACTGATAATTGTACCACAAAATAGCCACTTAACATGCCATTTTATGCCATTTTAAGCTATTTTTTCCAACACTTAATTCATAGGGTATTAGTGTACATTGATTGAGGAAATTTGTGATCGGACTAAAAAATAAATAAATAAAATTACAACTCATTATGACCGGTTTGGTTTCAACTTCGTGGCTTACGGAACAAACTAGGCGAGACATCTTCACTCTAAACATTATTTTCTAGTTAATAACATCATCTTTTATGTCCTTTTCATTTCTTCGAATCTGTTAATGTTGTCATAATAAAAAAGTATATATTTAATTTATTAAAAGTATATTATTTGTGTGCTGATATTAGATTGCATATTATATATTTCTTCTGTTTGGCAATGGCAACACTCACACATATTATATTCATTATCGCATCATTCATCCAATCACTTCATCATAAAATTTACTATATTAATTTTTCTGCCATGTCACCATCTACTACTTTTATAAAATAAGAAAACATTAAAATATTCAACATGAAGTGAATCCAAGTTTTGGAATCCCAATATACAAACAGTGTAAATGACCAAAAATTGATTCCTTTAATTAACAAAACAATATCATCGATTTAATCAAAGTAAAACAACAATTTTTTTGATATTCCAACACACGGTAAGACCTATGAAAAATTTGGCACTGTTTTAAATGTTTTTCCAAGTTGGTAATTACAAAAAAGTTGGATATGATAAAGCTTATCCATTGTTCATGTGTATGTGGACAAGGGACCTTCCATTATTTTTGGACTTTTTCTTTCCTATACGTATTTTCAGTGGCATTCGAATTCAAACTGTCACTTCCTTTTTTAAGTTACGAACCAACTACGTTAAGCCCAGAGACAAGCTTATCTATTATTTCACTTAGAGATGGGCATAGGTTGGAGCGATTATACATATATAATTTTGGAATTCACTAGGTGTGGGTACCACTACTGGAAATTATGGAATTTCCGACCACCTGAAAGTGATCTTAAATCAAGTTGAAAGTCTTGTTCTGACCACTTTTGGTATCCGGAAAAATCTTTGTTGCTATTTCCGACCACTTTTTGGTATTAACTTGATTTAAGATCACTTTCAGGTGGTCGGAAATTCTATGATTTCTAGTAGTGTACCCTAATTTTTTTTTATTTTAATAAATAACTTCAAAAAGGGAAAATAGCACTTTTTCCCCTGAGTTATATACTTATAGCACTTTTCTCCCTGACTTATTTACGTGGCTGTTTTTCCCCCTGAAATGTTAAATACACATATTTACCCTTAAATAAATATTTAAAATAAATATTTCATTTATTTGTCTTCTCCAACAAATTATGACCACAATTTCGTTCAAACTAAACAGACACTATAGCAACGTAACCGAAATATTCCAATTACAATTTAGAATCGAAACCCGATATTTAGAGTTTATTAAAATCGCTAACCAGAACGGCCGGTTCATGTTCCGAACTGAAAAAAATAAAATACATTTATTGTTGAATTTAGACTATTTTAAAATTAAAATTAAAATTTTAAAATAAAGACGGTTCAAAATCGCGAATCGGATCCGGAACCGCCGGTTCACGGTTCAAGATCCAGTTTTTTCGATTCATAATTTTAATAAACTGAAATCCAATTATTTGGTTCTGAATCTGAATCATAACCGGAAACTTTTAATTCGATTGCTATAGTGTTCGGTTTCAGTTCGAACCGAACCGTGGTTATCCCTATGTATACGCAATAATTTGTTTACTTTAAGGGTAGAAATGTTTACTTTAAGGGTAAGAAAAATAAATAAAATATTTATTTTAAGGGTAGAAATGTCAATTTAATATATCAGGGGGAGAAATCGCTACTTTTAGAATAATTGAGGGGGCTAATGTGCTTACATTAATAATTCAGGGAAAAAAATGCTATAAGTATATAACTTAGGGGGAAAAAGTGTCATTTTCCCCTTCAAAAAAAATTTAATAAAATGTAAAAAAAATTTGCAAATTAAAGCTATATTTCATAATAAATATAATGAAAATAGTCTAATATTTATTCTTTTTAAAGGAAAATAAATGTAATCATCATAGTTCTAAATAAATATGTGAGTCTTTAATTGTTTACTTTATTTAGGTAGAATTCCAAACAATTGTATATTGTAAGTACTATTTATGTGCCATGTGTATGTATGTACACATATATAATTTATCAAAAATAAGATTAAATTCAAGGCACGTCGGGGTTGTAAATGCCAAACTCATCCACATCCTTACTCAGAAGTCAAGGGTTAGATGTTTACCTTTGAATATGGAACAACCTTAAATATTTAAGCCAGTTGTCTCATCCAATAAAAGTATATATCTACCATTCAGCAAGGAATTAGTTACTATGTTTCATGGTGAAAATCTTGGTTACACCTAAAAAAAAAAAAAAAAAAAAAAAAAAAACCCTCCCAAACACATTTTGTGCGGGATAGATTTAGAAAATTCACTCCAACCCAAAACTAATTCCCTAGCTTATCTCTCTTTTTTGGAGTTAGGCTATTACTTGAAGTATAGTCATACAGAGTTAAGCTGCCACTCGAAGAACATTCATGTCTTTTCTTTCCCCACTTTCTTGACTTTAACTCTTGACTTGAAGAAATGCAACCCATACAATCTCAAGGTTGTATCAATCGGTGCTCTTTGAGAGTATCAATCTGAAAAAAATTATTTCTCGAATTGAGGGAATTGAAAAAAAAAAAGGAAAGAAACAACTATAAACAGAGTTGCACCGGTTGATTTTTATGAGTAAGCTTCTTACAAAACACATTTTGTAATATTTGTTAGGAACCTTGTATTAGGATTTTGATGATACCAATGTATTGTAGGAAAGTAGACCCCTAACTTTTAGCTTTTTCGATCGCTGCTTTCGTCCTAGACAAGAGTTGCCATAACTCCTCTGTAATTCGTGTTAAGCTAGACAAACACACGAAAATGAGTTATGACTAGTTGTTAGGGTCTCCAAGACGAATGAAGACACAAGGCATGATGAACAACAACGAAAGTCAAGCAGGAGTTGTCAACTATCACGAAAGGACAGTTTTGTTAAAGACGATTCTTACCAAGCATTACTTCTCTTCAACAACGAGAAGAATGTCTTATCTGTCTGATTTGACAACATCCTAGGACAATAAGGACCTCATCTTATGGGACACACTAATCAAGGAGCATTAAATGAAGGTGTACCATCTCCTGGAGCTAAAGGACAAAACCCTAATGCTTTCCATACCTTCAACGGCTACATGGTACAACCTCATTAATGGAGCATTTAATGCATGAGGCTCCCCGGTCCTTGCCCACTGGTTAAAAGGTTCGAAAATCTCATCTCCCTCCAACGGATGAATTTTCATCACCTATATAAACCCACCTTCATCAACTAAGAAGGTGCTGGTTCTTTTCACTCGACTCATTCACTTGCAAAAGCTCTTGAACGCTCTCAAATCTCTAAAAGCTTTTGTGAACCAGTGTTAAGGTGTTAAGTTACTTGAAGAAAGTTATTGATCATTTTCTTACACCTTAAAGAAGTCTTGTCATTTGTTCGAAGCAATCATCTCTCACTGTCAAGACTTCATCACGTTGGAGAAATCAAGAAATCATTTTCTACCAACCTCAACTCCGAAGAAGAAGTTGATAGAGGCGGAGTAAACTCGAGAAGTTGAAAAACCAACGAAGGCTGTCCGGCTTAGTGATCAAGGAGGTCTTTGTGTAATTGTACTAAAGAGTGATAGTGCAATCCTTCCATCAGTTGCGGAAGAAGAGTGGAGTAGGCAACGTTAGCCGAACCACTATAAAATCTCTTGTCTCCTCTATCTCTTTACTTACGCATTTTCTTTCTGCATTCATATCATTCTCATTATCCCTTTTACCGAAAGTTTTCCTCATATCGTAAACTCGTGCAAAGCAAGTAAACGAATCTGACTTTTCCGCTGCGCCAAAACACCGAAAGGTGACCTTTAGGGCATTTCACGAAAAGAGTCTATTCACCCCCCACCCTCTAGACTCTGGCTACATTCTATCGGGACCAACAATATTGTAATGATAAGACATGCATGCAACACAAAGCAGCCAGGGGCGGTCCTTCTTAAATTGCATGTGGTAATGACGTTTCTAAAGTTCAATGTATTAATTTTAAGAAAAATTGTAATTTATATTCCTCTATATATAATATGTCAATTATCAATGTCACTACTGAATTGTTAGTGGTGTAAATATTGTCCATCAATTTTCAAAACAGTACATATATTGCTCCTTTAGTACTGTACGGGAGGAAAATCGAGAGGCAAAATTTACACTACGGGTATGGGAGGTTAATATATGTATCATTTTGAAAATTGAGGTGTAACATTTACACCACTAATAATTTATGAGTCACATTGATAATTTACATATTATAGAGAGACATAAATTACAATTTTTCCTTAATTTTAATTACCATTGAAAATAAAATTTTGAAAGAAATTGATATTTAAAATTTTGTGAATGATTTTGCATATAAATATGCATCAAGTGTGTCACTTTTGACTTGTATCTTCCTCTTTTTTTTTTTTTTTTTTTTTCGTTGAATATTTTATGCATAATATTTTGACAATTTTTTAAATAAATTTTACATTTTTATTTTATATAATAAAAATAAAAAAAATAGTCCGATTCAAATTAAACAGAGCCCTTATTTTTTAAAGATCGGCCCTGGCTCCCACTGACCGGTTATTATACGGTGGACCATGGTCTACACAGATGTGTGGAGTATAGTCTGAAAATGGCGTCGTTTCTTTATGTAAAGAAATAGCAGCTGTTAAATTTTAGCAAATTCGGTATTTTTTGTGTGTTCAGAACATAATGAAACTACAGTATATCTAAAATGAAACTGAATAATTTGTCTCGCATATTGTGTTTATATTATCAAATGAAAGTGTAATTGAATTAAAATGATATTTTAGTTGTGTTGAAATGATACTGTCGGATGTATAAAATGAAACTGAATAACATGTTTCACATATTGAATGTATATTGTCAAATGAAACTGTATGTAGTTATATCAAAATAATACTTTAGTTGTGTTGTAATGAAACTACAGTATATGTATATAAAATGAAACTGAATAACAGTTACATATATTTGAGTATATATTTTCCAATAAATCGTAGTGGAATTAGAGTTATAATTTAGTTGTGTGGTACGTAATAATAATACAGTGTGTATGTATAAAATAAAATTCAATAACAAGTCTTATTGTAATATAAGATAAGACTATTGTATATATATAATATCAAATGAAACTATAGTTGAAACAAAATGAAACGTTAATTATGCTAAGATGAAATTACAATGTATATAAAATAAAACTGAATATGGTATACAAATAGAACTAATTACTCAGAACTCATTAAAAGAAACGACACCATTTAGGACCATGGTCCACACTAAAATTTGGTCCCCTAGCTTGAAGTCTTTAAAGTTTTAATAATACACAAGCAAATACTTTATTTATTCACATACACAAAGCAGTACAATGCAATTAAGTTCGCCAATAATGGCGTTGGAAAACAGGAAAGGCAACTCTACACGCACAACGTAGATGATGAACAACATATATGTGACATTATAGTTCCCTTGCTTAAACAACTAACACACAAACAAACTTTATTCATACCTTATTAAAATCATATCAATAGTATCCCACCATGAAAGGGTTTAATTTATGCGAACACAACATGGTCTGCCTCGTGATCATCAAGAATCCAGGTACCGTCATCTTGCTGAACCATTCCTTTGTTCTTCTCGACCCACCATTCAGTTGGAACCGGGCATTTCTCAACTTTCAGCATGCCTCCATACTTGTTGACTTGAGGGATATCAAAACACCCTTGTGGTTTAAACTCTCCCTTCGGTCCTTGAAACCCATCGATTCCATGCAGATAAATCATCAGCCCATGCCACATTAACACGTTCAACTTATCATGCTTTACATACTCTGATTTTGAAGCGTTTATATCAAATTGGACTCCCACGTCTTTGTAGGCTATGAGGGGTAAAATAGTCCCGGCTTCAACAGCCAAGAATGGCACCATTGGCACAAGATCCCCATTGTTAACGACTCGAAGAGCTCGGAGGTTTTTCAGGTGGGAAAAAGCCTTCTTGAAACCCTCGTTTCCCACTTTGGGGCTTGCGAACAAGAATGCTGTGATAAGAACATCGGTGTTGTTGAATGGATTGGCAGCTAGGTCAACTGCATTTAGTGTTGCCAGTGATGATCCCAGGCTGTGTCCTGTCACAGTTATGCTCACTTCCTCGTTCTTGTACAGATCAAGTAGCCTGCAAACTTCTGCTCGAACCTATGAATTGAAGTAGTTAAATATGAAACCATTTGGTTTTAAAATATTAGGTTAAACATGTCACTACTGGGAATTATGGAATTTCCGACCACCAAAGTCGAAAGTAAAAAGTAGTCGGAAATAGCAACAAAGGTTTGTCCGGATACCAAAAGTGGCCGGAACAAGGCTTTTGACTTGATTTAAGATCACTTTCAGGTGGTCGGAAATTTCATAATTTCCAGTAGTGTGTATGTATGTATTACCTGGTCCCTGGCACTATTACTGTTGAGGTGTGAATCTTGATTGGTAGAGGTATACATTTCATACCAACCTCTATGCACGAGGGAACCATTATCCTGGGCAAAGATGATTCGAGGTTTGACCATGGGGATTCTGAAATCCTCAATCCACTCCGACCTCGTTTCTGTTCCCCTCCAAACGACCAGAATGTCTCTCCGTCCCAAAACCTCCTTTCCCTTGTCGGTGGCAACAGCAACATATCCACCCCAATTTGACTCTTTCATCACTGCGTCTGCTCGCACTGATTGGACATGATATCCTCCATGATGGGCTCCGCATGTAGTTGAAGGAGTATAAAAGTACTTGGTGATAGTGTACCTAATCAAATTTACAAAGTGTTATATATATATATATATATATATATATATATATATATATATATATATATATATATATATATATATATATATATATATATCAGGTGTTCCAGGTGTTTTTCTGTCTGTTTAACGGTCTGGGTCCACCCGACTAATCCACTTAGAGACACAAAATCTGACCCTAGAAGAGTTATCACTTGTGAAAATTAAACTCTAGTTATCCCGTTGGTCATTCCTACAAAGAAGCTCATTTGATACTTGAGCAACCTTTGGATTGATGCATATATAATTATGAAATTGTTTCCATTGTTTTTTGAGACCAAAAAAAATAAAAATGAGGGACTAGGAAAGGTAAAGAGATGAGTATTAGTTTATACTTGAAAGGATTTGCCTTCTCAAGCCCAGTCTCCTCAAGGAGGCTTTTCTTGGCGTAGCGGCTTAGCCCGGCATACTTAGAAGTTGGTTCACTGATGAAGGAGTCGTATACTGCTCCAATCATTGAACCATAGTGAATGAGGTAGCGGCGAAGATCAGAATCCAAAGGGTCTAGTAACCCTTCCCAGTTGTCACTCCCATTCAAAACTCTCCATCTCTTAGCAATGCTCTCCATTTTTTTATTATTATTTTTTTTTTCTGAATGTAATTAGCACTTAGGGGTGTTTCTTTGCTGATGGAGTGAAGTGTTGCACACTCCCCTCTTTATATAGAGGGGAAGAGACATGCATCAACATCTTGTGCTCTCTCTGACACACACATCTATATTCAGATCATATGATGAGAACACTTCCTTAGATGAGAACATGCGAACAACCATGTCTATCTGTCTTGTGTTATGCGTTTCTGTGTCTCATGTTATACAATTTTATACTTTAAGTGTATGGATTCTGTACATGAAATAGATTAGTAGTTGTGTAATACACAACATATTATATGTCTTATTTTACATATATATTATGTACGTAAATAAGACAGATTTGAGAATTAAGTAAATATATAACATTTGCATGTGTTTTGTGTGGTGAGTTTTTTGTGTCCGGTGTTATTATATTATGTACCTTAATTAGAGTATTGATTCTGTACCTAAAATAAATTAAAATTTGTTTTGAAACAGAAGAAACATGAAACTACAAAATCGGTTAAAAGCTTAAATTTCAAAATGACGTCATTTTGATCCAGGATTCACATTGTTATGTGAACCCTGGTCCACCATATAAGTTGCCAAATAAATGTATTCACAAAGAACACCAAAGCATCAATTGTTATACCATGGACCAGAGTTCACATTGCACTATGGACCTTGGTTCATGTGTTTGTGTTTTGTGTTATGACATTTTGTGTCTTGCGTTATGAAATTCTGTATTTTACGAGTATGAATTCTGTACCTGAAACAAATTAGTAATTATGTCTTATGTTATGAATTTTGTATCTTGTGTTGTGAAATTTTGTACCTATGAACACAAATTATGTACCTAGCTAAATCAGATTTGAAAAATAAGTAAATATATAACATGTGTATGTGTCTAGCTTAGTAGCTTGTATTTTTATATTTTGTGTCTTGTGTTATTAAATTATGTACCTCGTCTTTTCAATTCAATTGGGTCTATAATGCTATGCTATGCGTCTTGTGTTGTATTTTTTTTTTTGTGTGTTAGTGTTATGAAATCTTGTACCTCGTTATTTAATTTCAATCCATGGTCCATAATGCTATGTGGATCATATATGGTCCATGAGGACCATGATATAAATTGCCACAATGCATTCAATATATGAACACAAATAAAAGTTCAACAATTGTTGCTACATTAAACGTCATTAACTTTCTACAAACAAATAGGGGTTGGTGTATATTTAAGAGTTAATTCCACAAGAGATCCTTTGTCTTTGGTGGAGGCGTTATTTGTTCTTTGTGTTTCAGTAGGTTGAGAAAGTATATGAACAGATACTACATTGTAATAGAGCCAGTAGAATTCAAAAAAAAAAAAAGAGTTAATTCCACCAGAGATCCTTTGTCTTTGGTGGTAATTCTAAATTTAGTCTCAAACTATTGTTTTTGTCATTTTACATCTCAGACTATCATTTTTTGGACACTTTTAGTCCTTCTTATGACTATTTCTATTTTTAGTAAGGGCATTTGTCTCTTCATATTTTTTGTTATTTTTCCAGTTTCAACCGGTTTAATTGGTTTAGGACTTTACTAAAAATCGATTGAAAAATATGGTTACTAAAAATCATAGGTTACCTAAAGTTCTAAACCAATTAAATCGGTTGAAATAAAAAAAATAACAAAAGAAAAAAATATGAAAAGACGAAAATGCCCTTACTAAAAATCGAAAAAATCATGAGAAGGACTAAAAGTGTCTAAAAAATAATAGTCTGGGATGTAAAATGACAAAAACGATAATCTGAGATTAAATTTAGAATTACCATCAATGACAAGGGACCTCTAGTGAAATTAACTCTATATTATTTATAAATATGTACATTAGTACATATATTAATGGCCTTAAAATTGGGAAATTTAACTATTGGCAATGATTCAATTAAGTAGAAACGTGAATTATCATATGAGTTTTGTTTTAGTTTCATTTTTCACACACTAGATTTATTATTATTATTATTATTTTTAAAGGTACTAGATTTATTATAGTAACATTAGAATATTATTTTAATTACACTTTGGCTCTGTTTGGTAGAGCTTATTTAGGAGCTTATAGCTTATTTTAAGTTACTAATAAGCTATAAGCTCTGTTTGGTAATGTTCCCAAAATAAGCCTCTAGCTTAAAATAAGAGTTTATTTTAGAACGCTACCTACGGTAGCGTTTCAAAATAAGCTCCTAGCTTCCTAACTTTTTTTTCCATCTTTATCCTTATTATTTTTAAAAAATGACATAATTTACCCTTCCCAATTAAAATCTTTTTCTCTTCTCCTTTATTTCCAACTTTCACAGCAAATATTATTATTATTATTATTATTATTATTATTATTATTATGAGTTTTGCAATAATATTGCTACTTCATTATGAGATGCTAGATCATGATTATGCTAATAGTTTTATTTCAAAATGTTACTTTTTTAAAAAAAAAAAAAAAACAAAATGTTAAATTTTAATATGTAAACAAACTAATTTAAATTTTATGAAGATGTCTTTTTTAGTCTTTTTACATTTATCAGCTTATCAAAAAGCTAATTTTACCAAACACTTTCAATCATAACAGCTAGCTTAACCGCTCTCCAGTTTTAAGCTCCGAGCTTATAACTTTTCAGCTTTCAACTCTTAACTTATAGTTTTTCAGCTAGGTTTGCCAAATAGAGCCTTTATGTCTCAGATATTTAATTTCATTTTATACCTATAATAGGTTCATTATAGTAACAATAAAGTATTATTTTAATTTCAAAACACGTTCATTTGAGAATATATATATATATATATATATATATATATATATATATATATATATATATATATATATATATATATATATATATATATATATTAAAAAACGCGCGGTGGCATATTTGTAATTTTGAGTAAATAAGTCAGCTTGTTTTTGTATTCGAGTGCACATTTGTCCTTCTTCGAGTGCACATTTTTCCTTCTTCAAGTGCACATTTGTCCTTCTTCGAGTGCATCACTTTTATTTCTGTACTTAGTTTATCATTTGAGTGCACATCTTTGTGCCTTTGAGTGCAAATCTTTTGGCCTTCAAGTGCATATTTTATAGTCTTCAAGTGCATGTTTTCCTTTCTAAGAGTGCATTATTAATTTTCTTCAAATTTTTCCTTTTTTTTTTTTCTCTCCCTTGCCTTCTAGTGATCCTCTTTATGCTTTCAAGTGCTCAATTTAATGCCTACAAGTGTATCTGTGTCTTACTATTGTGTAAAATTTTTTTTAAAAAAAAAACTAAGCATTCAAATGAACCCTATTTTTCCTTCGGTGCAGATTTTTTGCCCTCAAGTGCATAGTATTATGCCTTCAAGTGCATGTTTCTTTGCCTTCAAGTGCACAATTTTATGCCTTCAAGTGCATGTTTCTTTGCCTTCAAGTGCACAACTTCTGGACAGTATTTGTTATATCTTGTGCATTCTTTTCAATAACATATAACTAAATTTCTAACGTAATTTGTGAGATTTACAACCGATTTGTATGGGTAATTGGTTTAATAACACTTAAGTTGAATAACCTCCCTTTTTGGTACCATAAATTGCATCAATTGCACATCTATTTGCCTTCGAATGTAATTTTTTTTACCCTTCAAGGTGCATGGGTTTGAGCCTTCAAGTGCACAAACCGCATTTTTCGCGCAGCGGGAAATGGCATGTGCACCTGATCCTAAACCTCTGCTCAAATGCGACCGCGCTTTAATGTGTGGTCGCTTAAAAAGGCACCAATAGTGTTAATAGAGACACCAATAGTATTAGAAAAATGCACAATAAATCACAAAACGCACAACACCCGAAAAAAATACACCATACCTCCCAGCAAAATTGTGCATTTCCAAACACTGTATGGTGCATTTATGCATATCTAATGGTGCTTTTTTTTTCCTGATGCATACTTAATGGTACGTTTTTTGATGTTTATTTATATATTTTTTTTGTTGTACGTTTCCTAACACTATTGGTGCATATTTGCATAACTATTGGTGTGGTCGGACTGACCGCACGTTAAGACGCGGCCGTAATTGAACTAAGGTATATATATATATATATATATATATATATATATATATATTTAGGATCATATGAGAACACTTGCTTAGGTGAGAACACAAGAACAAATCGTGTGCATCCATCTAATATTTTTTAATGGTCTAGATTAGATTAAGTGTGTGTGAACGCGAATTAAGTGTGTTTGCACATATTTAATTCGCGTTCGCACATACTTAATCTAATCTACACAATTAAAAAATATTAGATGGATGCACACAATTTGTTCTCACGTTCTCACCTAAGCAAGTGTTCTCTTTGGAACCCTACTCTCTCTCTCTCTCTCTCTCTCTCTCTATATATATATATATATATATATATATATATATATATATAGGCAGGTTCAGGTGCGGCAGTGTCTTACAGTGCGGTTATTTCTTACGGTGCAGCAACACCAATAGTTCAACAAATATGCACCATCAACGTTAGGAAAATACACCACATAAAACAGAGTAAACAGAGCCCTGCATCACCAAACACTCACCATTAGGTGTGAGTAAAAACACCATATACTGTTCGGAAATACACCATTGGGGTGGTGAGTTATATGGTGCATTTTTTTGAGTCTGTTGTGTATTTTGTGATGTTTTATTGCATTTCATTGTGGTGTGTTTTTATTACACTGTTGGTGCATATTGTTAACACTGTTGGTGTATTCAGGATTTTGACCGCACGCCGCACGGTAAGACCCCGCGCATATGAGCGCTCTTTTATATTTATATATATATATATATATATATATATATATATATATATATATATATATATATATATATATATATATATATATATATATATATATATATATATATGCACTCTAGTGCGAATGGAGCGCCCAGGTGCAAATATGCGAATATCTGATATCCGCCACGTGTCCAGATCTAATAGATGAGAAACACTGATTTAACAAAAAAACGTGGTGGCATTTTCATAAATAATTGAACATCGAAGTGCATGTAAAATG